TGAGAAATGAGGCAGCAGGTCGATGCTTGCATTCCACTGCCATGTGATCAGATTCTCCTTCTGTGGGGCTCTGAGTCCTCATCATAACATGGAGACGGATGTGATGACCCTCCAAGATCTCCTGGCTCTAAGGTGCTGATGCTCCATGGCCTGGTGGACAAGTGTGTGTGTCATAGGGTCGTCTGGTTAAGAAAGAAGAAGGTGTTACTGATTTTCTAAAAGCAAGATGAGAAAACCTGACAGTATAGAAAACCATTAATGATTCTCTTTCAGAGAGAAGAAAAGCAACAGGTAAAGTATCATCAAACCAATGGGCACATCTCAGATCAAAGGAAAGAAATCTAGTCAGCATGTCCAAATTAGAAAGGCATTAAAGAGAAATATTTTTGGCATCACTATGAAGGATCTGAAAGAAAACCATTGTGTTTCACATTCGTTTTGAAATTTAAACCTTTGGAGAGATGCACACATGATGGAACGTCCAATAGAAACGGAAGGACTTGTCTATGGATCTACACGGACTATCCTATTCTCAACACTCTTGGAAAAAGTCCTGCACTTCAAGAATAAAGATACAACCTTTATTCCATAAAGAAAGTCCATGGAGAAATCATGACCGGGCATTGGAGATATCTTTGGTGTGTCTGAAAGAAACAAGATGGTACAATAACATTAAGAGAAAAGGAATGAAACTCAAGAATTCCAAGATGTCATTCCCCTATCAGGGTGAGAGACCATCCCTGGGGTTAGCAGTGATTCATCGATGATAGCTGCACGTTGGGCATGAGAAAAAGAGCCAAAGCGAAGGTCGGTGAGGACAGAGACTTCGAGATGGTGGGGAGAAGGAAGTTTGGGAACTATGTGTAGGGGACTTGGAACGCTTGATGATGAAGTGACAGCTACCCACTGTGTTGTCTAAGTGCTAACTGAGGATTCTGAAACAACAATAGACATTCGGGAAGGGAAAATCTGATAAAAAGCCTGAACTAAAAATACTAAAGTCTCAGCAAAACTTAGGAGGTATTTTAAAGGCCTCATCTTGGGTGGGGAAGTCTCACAAGAGTGGGGCAATGCTCTCTCTCAGGGGGGTCCCCCCTTTTTGGACGAAGATCAATGGTGAGGAACCGAGGGTTATTTCCAGTCAACAGCTTGCTTCACTCTTTGGCCATTCTAGGGGCTGTGAAGTCGGCGTGAGGTTTGGGAAAGTTTTGCTCAATAGGGGATGAACCACACCTTTACCGAGTCCTGTAAGAGCTGGCCCAGAGTTAAGTGTTGGCCATAATAACACCATCTCTGTAGTTCGCCATGGGGAGATCTGTAGATGAACTTTCGTGCCATTTAAATCTTAGCGATAGCCTGGTATTTAACTTTGGATGTTTATGGACATGTGTGTTCAATTTCGTGTGACTCAGATCCTGCTGGTTGCTGAGTGTGTGTGGGAGGGTGTGCACGGAGGGCAAATTAGACTCTGCCCTTTCCAGACGGGGTTGCGTGTAAGAATGGGTTTCCTGAAGGAGCAAAGGTCCTGGGAGGTTTAGGTAAGCCATTTACCATCACTCTGTAGAGAGAGCTTTAAAAGCACTTGGAAATGAGCCATCTCTCCCCAGAAAAGAGGGAGACGAAAAGGGAATGTGGTATGGATCCCAGGGAGGAAGGACTTCAGAAAATCCATCCTCTGGATGTTCCTGCCACAAACCCAAAGTCAGCGTGGGGGTCTGGCTCCCTGACCTTTCAGATGAGTCCAGTGGAAAAGCTCAAGACATGGCTGCTGTGAGCCAGGGGACTC